TGAGCGATTGTGATTTTAAAATGATTTAAAAAAAAAAAAAAAGAATTTTCAGTCTGGGTTTTTTCGCTACAAACATTTATATTTTATTATACTGCGAAATATATCACTTTAATCTATTCATAATTTACAGACCTGATCATTTAACGGAAATATGTCGTAGTCAACAAAATATCTTACAGACCCTATAATATTTTTTAAGAGTGCCTTTACTACACCGAGCATCCGTCACTAGGAATAAATATAAGTTCTTGATACTAAGTTCTTGGTAACAAAATGTAACTAAATATAGATATATATTTAAAATTAATTTCTTGCTTTAGATAATATTTACAATGAATAAAAAACCGTATATAGAAACTAAAAAAAAGATGAAAGTTGACATACCCTAATAACCCTGACAATCATATAAATATTCTTTAAAATCCGGAAAATTCTAAGTTAGATACTCGGGCAAATAAGCAAAAATAAAAAAAAGTAATGTTTGTTAAAAATATATATAAAAAGTAATAAAATTGTACATTGTATTGATGTCAAATCCTATTGATGTCAAATGCTAAATTTGCCATTTGACACCAGCTGTCAAATGGCAAATTTAGCTGAAAATCTATGTAACAATATAACCTGAAGATTAAAGCTTATTTTGTCTATAAAACTGCAGTTTTTCAAAATTAATGATACATAATTGTGCAAGCAAAGATATTAAAATGGGAATATAAAATAAAAAATTAATCAAACTTCATAAAATAGTACAATAATAACCAAAGTTTAAGAGCAAAATCCTGGTCAGAACTCGGCACCTCCGGACCGTTTTCAAGACCTACTCGAGGGGGGCAACCAATTGCTGTTCTTTTTTTAGAAAAAATGAGCAGTAGTTGGTTGTCTCTGTCAAATGGGCCTTGGAAAAGGTCTGAGAGGTTGCCTAGTCATGATCAGGATTTTGCATGCTGCATAGATATTAAAATGCCAATATAAATAAAAAATTACCAAAATTTCATAAAATAGCACAATAATAACTATAAATTTAAGAGCAAACACCTGCCTGCAAAATTCAGGTCAGAACTTGACATGCCCGGACCATTTTTGGGATCTGCTCAAGGGGAGCAATCAACCACTGTTCCTTTTTTTAAAAAAATGAATAGTGGCTTGTTGCCTCTCTCAAACAAGTCTTGAAAAGGGTCTGGGGAGTGCCAAGTGATGATTAGAATTTTGCAGGCTGCAAAGATATTAAAATGCAAATATGTAACAAAAAATTAACCAAATTCCATAAAATAGCACAATAATAACCAAAATTTAAAGAGCAAACAAAACAGCATGCAAAATCTAGGTGAGAGCTCGACACTCCTGGGCCTTTTTTGGGACCAGCCCGAGAGTGGCAACCCACTGTTCTTTTATTCAAAAAAAAATGAACAGTGGTTGGTTGCCACTCTCGAACAGGTCTCAGGAAGGGTCCGGGAAGCGCCAAGTAACAACCAGGATTTTGCAGGCTGCACACGGTACAACTAGTTCAAAAAACATTCAAAAATAACATCAAAGAACAACAATTTATACTGCTGTTGCTTTTACAAGAGGTGGTTGCAGGTTAACAATGGCAGCAGCAATTATCCATATATCATCGATTAGAGGGACTAATGTGATAGGCAAAGTGTTCTTTAGAAGTCGAAATTCTTTCAGCCTTCCAATGACACGTTCAATGTGTATTCTTGCACGTGCTATGCGCTTGCAATGATACACTTCAGAGGGTGTAAACTGTCGCTTACTACGTAAAAATGGTGGAATTACAGCTTTTACCTGCCTTGATAGAAATAAATCTTGAACATTGAAACCTTTATCAAAAAGTGCAATAAAACCAGGAGTGAATCTTCTTGCAACATTGCAATCTTCAGTGATAAAACGATCTGAGGAAGATCCAGAGTAACCTTTAGAAACAAAAGAGATAGAACCGCCTTTAGTACAAAATATAAGTTTTTTTAATGTGTTTCTACTTTTATAAGAACTATATGTTTGATATTGAGCTTTAGCATTAGCAGGTTTTTGAATAGTTTGTTCAGTACAGTCACCAATACCTTCAACATAAACGAAATCTCCAATAAAATGAGGATGTGTAAAACTTAATGTTTCTTCTGGAGCAGGCCAATAAATTAATGGTTCAAGTTCTCGGGCTAATAAAGTTATAAATGTAGTTAAAATCCTAGAAACATGACTTACTGAAATTTTAAAACGAAATGCTAAATCTTGTAATGGTGAGTCAAGTCGAATACGCATTAAAGTAAGTAACACTTCATCTTCAACAAAAAGCTGTCGTGCTGGACCAGGTTTCCCTGTACTTGAAGGTTTACTAGCAGGACTAAACTGATATTGCTTTGGTTCAAATGAACGTTTATAATCCATAAAATATGACACTTTTTTATGTTTAGCTTGAACACGACTAACAATATATAAAAAAACATTTTCAGTGGGACACCCAGTATACAATTTTATGACTTTGGGTAAAGAACGCACTGCCTCCCATGTTAATCTTTTATGACTACTTTGTTTATAAAGTGTTGTTGGTGTTAGATAAGTTGCTGGTGTGTTAGTAATTAAATCGATTTGTTGTGGAGAAAGTTGCTGATTAGATGCTGTTGATGATAGACATGGAGGAGATATTGACAGAGAAGACTGTTGGGGAATATTGTCATTATTGTTACTGCTACTAGTAGTGGTACAGGTACTTGAAAAATGTGTATTTTTATGTTTTTTAGAAACTGTAGTAGGTGTATATCGAGGAATTGGTAATTTTCTTTTATTTTGAGGAGAAGATATTTCGTATCCTTTCAAATATAACTTTGGATGAGGGGATAGCTCAGTTGGCTTCCCATACTCAAAATGATTTGCACATACTTTTGTATTCTTATTTACAGCATATAGCTTTCTTTTTTTTGTTAAAGGATCGACTATTTCTCTGTTAATAATTTTACTCCATGTGGAAAAATATTTCTCTTTACAAGTAAAAAATTTTAATTCGCTGAAACTAAAAGTCTTATAAATATGATCTTTCAAAACATACTTTTCTTTGTATCGACGATCGTTGTTACAACCAAAAATTGCACAATGATCGCTCTTACCCATTACAAAAGAGTGTTGCAAATAAAAAAAATAATAGTTATAAACCAAATAGATAATAATGGTCAACTTTTAAAAAACTAAATAGAAACAACAGGATATTTACGAATTTAACTTTTGTTTGCTCCCAGGCAATCCCAAAATGCAATGCGTAGTTATAATGACGTCGTTATCTGGCAAAAGGTCTATTAAAAAGAAACAAAGATAATGCCGAAGAATTAAAAAGAAATATATATATATATATATTCAACTGTTATATATATATATATATATATATATATATATATATATATATATATATATATATATATATATATATATATATATAACAGTTGAATATATATATATATATATGTATATGTGTATATATATATATATATATATATATATATATATATATATATATATATATATATATATATATATATATATATATATATATATATATATATATATATTGTCCGAATTAAGCGAAGCTCTCGTGATGTCGGACTTTTGGATAATGTCGGACTTACCGAAATTTATCGACACAGAAATATTTTGGTTTCGAGTGTTTAAAAGCCACGTATAACATGCTCTATCCAGATCCTCATTTAGGGAGACTCACATCCCTAAATGAGGATTTAAAAAAATTAAACTTCTTTTCGCAGAAGTTTAATTTTTTTCGACTTCTGAATATATTATGTTTATTGCCTTTGACCATTCAGACAATTTTTAATTGGAATGCCCTAATTCTTTGATATAGATTTCCTTTGTTAAGTTCTTTTAGTATTTTTCTGTTATAGTAATTTAGCAACCTTCAACATTTTAATAAATAAAATTTAATCTAAGATTAACCGAATCGAAGGTTTTATAGAAAGGGTTTAGTTAGTTAAATTATATTTGACGCAAAGGTATTTAATTTTCGAACATTTTGAGTTTTGAATTTTTAGTGATGTTTTTTTATTTTTAATATAAAAGTTAATAATAAAATTTAATCGAAGCTTTACCGAATCGAAAGTATAAATTTAAGTATTAGTTATGTTTAATTTTATTTGACTAAAAAATATTTTTTTACTTTCAAGCGTTCAATGATTGGAATTTTATTGAAGTATTAATTGATTTTTTATTTTTTCTATATGCGCTTATATGCAATTCAAAATAGAAATCCTAGTTAAGCGAATTTTTTTTTCCGAAGGGACCCCAAAAAACAGTACGAGTTAGTGAACTTAACCAGGGTACGACTTAAACGGATGGTTTTATAGTAAGTTGATAGAGAAAGTTCAAGGGGAATTGAAAATCCGTCCGACTTAGTAAAAGTCTGACTTAACGGGATTCTACTGTAAAAACAAAAAAAAATAACATTAATTATAATAAACTAATAAAAATGTGAAGAAAATGAATTTTTCTTAATGTTTAGGTTGTGTATTTATTATTTTTTCTGCCACAGTAATTTTAAAATGTTATAAACTAAAATCATAAATAATTATTAAAACCAAGAGAACACAAAGCGTTTCGTGTCTGTATAAGTCTGTATAATATTACCTTTGAGCATTCCTTCTAAAATTTAAAATTTTAGTACCATTTTAAAAGAAAAAATATTGATTGTGATTAGGATGCGGTTTAATTTGAATACTGGTTACAATGGTTAAAACTTCAAATAAAATAGAACATAGTATACAGAGAATTTGTATCAGAGAATTTGTAGTGTCTTTTAAAAGTTTTAAAAAAAAACCATTTAGTTGCATAAAATGTAACTTTTTGAAAGATATTATAAGTTGATTTTTGTATGGGGGTAATCAGAAAGTGTAAACTTATTTAATGGCTTACTTTATAAAAATAACTGAGGTTTCAGTTTTCATATAAAGTTTTAAAATAAAGCTTATTTACCTTTTTTTTTTGTCTTTTTTTTTTTATAGAAGTTTTTGATATATAATCCTGCTGATCGTATCTCAGCCCGCAAAGCTATGAAGCATCCATATTTTTTTGACTTTGATCCTACAACGTTACCTCAGCCACCAGAAGAAATTTTGTAATACATACTTGCTATTAAGAAATTTAGTGACAAAAAGGTGAATGAAGAAATTTGATTTTCTTATTTTCGCTGTATTTTGTTCAATCAAATTTGCTTAATGCTAAATTACATTATCATTAGCATAACATAATATAAATAATGATGCATTATATGCGAACAAGTGTTAGTTAATTCAACAAAAGCTTTTCAAGTGCATGCGCAGTGATAATAAAAAACCAATATATGTAACTATATTTTATCAGCAAAAATGTGAAATGTTAAAAAAAGTTTTGAAGGTGGTCTAAAAATTTTGCTTTTTTGTATTATAATCGTATTATAAATGTATTTTCAATGTGAACTGTTTTTTTTTGTTTTTGTTTTTCTCCTTTTTATTAATTTTGTTACGTGGTATAAAAAATGTTATTTCACATTTTCAAATTTTAAGCTCTTATTTTAAAATTTTTAAGTGAGCGAACTCTAAATTTGTATCTACTAATATTTTTATTAACAGTTAAGAGAAATTTATTTTCGCTAATACTTTGTTAAGTCGTAGACTTGTAACATGTTTACTAATTTTACTAAATTATTAAAATTTTTTTTTTTTTTTTTTTTTTTTTTTTAATTTGCGGTACAACATAACTTTGGTGTTTGGCTTTATGTAAAATTATTTATAATACGAGATAACTCAACTAAATAATTTTTTTTTACCTTTTAAAAATTAATAAAAAACAAATGTTGAATAAATAAGACGACTTTCCAGTGGTCTTGAAATGTCTACGGTGTAACTTTTTAGGAGTGGTAATTATGAATATGTATCTACTGATGTCTTTTGTTAATAAATTTTTTTTACCTTGGACAGTGTATGTATCAGCATTTCTAATTACTTGTAAAAAGTTATTTATGTTTATATTTCTAGCTTATGTTCAGAAATGTCAAATATTATAGTTATCAACCACATGTCTTGTATTTGTCTATCTAATGACATTCTAAATTTCCCAGGAAGTTAAGCTAATGTTTGCTATACCTATCCTACATATTCTATGCAGGGGACTGCTACCTGTACCTAAGCAAAGAGCCAGTTTTCCTAAAATAATTTTGAAAAATCATACTTCAAGAATTTTACTTTAAATCATTATCAACAAACCATTATTTTATGATATTCAATGAGATTTAATTGTATCGATTTTAGATTTATTTTTACATATTGTAAAGTAAATAAACATATAAATAACTAAAACAAACAATTTAATAATAAATGCCGTTAAGTTACTACGATTTTTGTTAGTGAAATGATTCCATCATCCTCATAATTTGTGGTCAAGTTAGTTTTAGACAACTTTCAAGGCGTCTTTATCAACTTTTATCATCATCAAAATCATCATCAGCTTTCAAGACATCATTGAGAGAGGATCTCAAGTTACTTTTAATGATGTTCATGTTACTAAATATCTGCTCACAATATTTAGGTCCAAAAACTATTGAGAGTACCACCAGCTTAAGTTGTAACTTTCAGAAAGACTGTTCTGTTTCATCTATGATTTGATCTTCTTTACGACAACTTGAAAATTCTTTTCTACTATCTACTGCAAATTTTTTTTCAAAGTTTTTTTATTTCTGTTTGCAACGCTGTATATTTTGAAGAACAAACATCTTTTTCAAATTTAAAAGTTTTGAAAAAGATTCTTAACCTTCCTTCCGAACCTGACCTAATCTTCCTAACCGAAGTTCAAATTGAGCTCCATTGACCTTCTGAAACGGTCTGGAATTTATTTCGTTGATATTAACAGTAAGTGATCAACAAGATGCGTCAAAAAAGAAAAAGTAATTTGTTCCTTTCTAAACTTTTTAAATCAGGTGGCAAAAGTATCTTTCATTTTTATAATCTTTTCTTTCACTTGACCAGAACTTTTTATCAAGTAACTTGTCCACAAAATTGATATTTTTTTGTGACGCCATCAATAATCGTGTAGTGCTGTAAACGTAATAACCTTCTTCTTTTGAGGCGCGGGTGAAACGTGTTAATGGGTTTTGTTCAATGCTTTTCCGCATCCAAAATGGTTTCATGTTTTGTGATTCCAAAAATATCATTTTAACTTCCTAATATTAAACTTCACAGGTATAAAAACAATGTATTTTTACCAGTGACTCCAAATTGCTTTATTTCAAAGAGTTTCCACCATCAAAACAAGGTCATTATTTTTTCCCCACAACAATTAAAAATTGCAAAAACTATTAGCAAACTTTATAAAGCTCAAGACTGAGAAAACGGAATTTCTGATTTCTGGAAAAAGCAATATTTTCAATAACGTTATTCAATTTAACGGAGCTTGCATATACCTTCAAAATAAATTAAAACATCTGGGTTACCGATGGGATAACGATACTAGCAAAAACAAAATTGCAACACTCCAAAAAACAAATTTAAATGAGCGTATATTTCAGTTTCAATCAGTTGCAATAGTTCTAATCGACAGCGGGATTCGTTATTGCCAGGCGTCAACAATAGTCTATTTATATAAAATGTTTTCAGTGTGAGCTTTACGGCTTCTTGTTTTTTTTTTTTGACTTAGGGGACATCCATAAAGTATGTACGCAATCAAATCACTGATTTAGGACCCCCTTCCCCCTTGTGCGAACTGTACGCTTTCGAAAACCTTCCCCCCTCCGCGTATGTACGCATTATTTTTTTTTTCAAAACTAACTCGATTTTTTTATCTCTCATTATTTATAAAGAATTAAAAAAAAAAATTGTAACTGAAGTCAGAAAAAAAATACAATTCTGATTTGCTACACACGTGAAATTCAATGTTTTTTTTTTTTTTAATAAAATCATGTTTAGGATAGTCAAACCGCGTACGTACTCACTGTCTTTAACACCCCCTCCCCCTTGTACGGATTAGTACGCTTTTGGGAAACCCCCACCCTCTCCCCCATACCTGCTTACGTACTTTATGGATGGCCCCTTAGGAGGTGTTAATAAAACATTTATATCTTTTGAAATATTTGAGACAATTTTGTTTTGTGAAAAGAATAAAAACAACAACAAAATGTTTCATCATACGACATTTAATACAATGGCAAAAAAACTTCTTCTAGTTTATAAAAAACGCGACAAATGATGAACTTGGCTAAATTTTAGTAATTTGTTGTTACTTTTTATTAAAAAAAAATCAGAAAAATATATTTCTGATAGTTATTAAGTACACTTATTGTTTGACTATTATTATTATTTTTTTTTTTTTTTTTTTTTTTATTATTATTATAGTTGTAGCCGTAAATTTACATAGAATGTACACATACAGCGAGCAGGGGAAACACCCCACTATAAACAACCAGTTTTATAAATATTTGTTCCAAACTTTTTCCACAACCAGGAGTCTAGTCTATTTTTGAAAGAAAGTACAGTGGAGTACAAAGTTATTTGCTCTGGTAGATTGTTCCAGTATTTTGCTGATCTATTATACAAATGATTATATCTTGGAAGACAGTTTAGAACATACTCACGCCTTATTTTAGAATGGTGACCACGAGACACGGAGTTAATATATTTTGGTAGATATTTATCATTAACTATATCAAAACGATGTATTAATTTAAAAATTTGGATTAAATCGCATCGAAGGCGTCGAAACTCAAGAGATGGTAGGTTTAATCTTTTTAGCCTTTCGCAGTATTGAAGATGCCTCAAGCTGTAAGCCCATTTTGTAGCTTTGCATTGAACAGATTCAACCAAAGCCATATCAGCTTTTAAAAAAGGAGCCCAAATGGACACTCCATATTCAAGATGTGGTCTTATAAATACTTTATATAATTTGAGAGCCATTTTTTCATCAATGAAAGTGAATGTCTTTTTCAGCATACCGAGAATTTGTAAGGACTTAGAGACAACTGTTTGAATATAAGCGCTCCACTTGAGGTTAGATGTAAAAATGACTCCTAAATCACGTTCTTTAGTAGAGCTTCTTAGAGATTGGTTGATTCCTTGGTTATTTTGAAGAAAGTAATTGTAATGGGGGTTGTTTCGACCGTAATGAATGACGCAGCATTTTGAAGTGTTTAGCTTAAGTAACCAAGTGTTTGACCACTCGTATACCAAGCGTAGACGATCCTGCAGATCAACAAAATTAGATTGCGATAAGGTTTTAGAAAAAAGTTTAGTATCATCGGCAAATATCTCAGAAGTTTCAGTGAGTTTTGCGAGATCATTTGTGTAGAGAATGAAGAGGAGCGGGCCGAGAACAGAACCTTGAGGAACTTATATTTAATAAATATATTATTAATTTATAAGATATATAATAATAAGATTATAATAAAAAAACCTTACTTAATTGTTAAAGATTAACTAAAACAGTTTTTATTGAAGTCTGGAACAGAACGCATTTTTTGCAAAATTTTTAAAAACGTCGTTTAAAGGGGGATTAGCTGTTAAATGAGTACGTTTTTAAATTTAGAAGTTCTTATTTTAGAAAATAATTTACTAAGTTTATAAATTCAATGCATTACAAAATAAAGCCAGATTTCGATTTTGAAATATTTAATCTTAACATTTTAAGCTAAAGCCTTTAAAAAACATAAGCAATTTATTTTTTTCTATGCATACGGTTTTAATAATATGGTGTTAGATTGTTAAGAAATAAAGACTCACCAAGTCTAATAAAATAATTCATGACTAAAACTGCGTTAAAGTTTTTCAATTAACCTCGCTTTTGTTAACATAATTATTTTATGGCACTTGAATCAATCTCTTCTCACAAAAAATAAAACTTTTGTTTAAATATACAAATAGCTAATTTTATTTGTTTGATAGTGTATTTTTATTCTCATAAAAAACTGTTTAATGATAATTTGATCTACTGATAAGTTCTTTAAGAAGAAAACGATCTTTGTACACACAGTTGATAATAGATTCATACTCCATTCTAAACCAGAGGATTAGTTTTTGTTCAAAAGACTCACAATTGTGACAACTTTTACAAATTCTTTATTTAATGTATCTTTACACTAACTTGTTATTTATGAGACTTAAATTCTATTCTTTACCCAGAGAGAAGGTATGTTGAGCAGAGATACTGCAGAGGTAAAAC